GTACCCATGAAGCATATAGTATAATTGAATTGAATAAATTAAACTGGATCCCAACTCACCCCAAAATGATCTGCAACCGGATTAGACATCTGATACCACATTAGATTTGAGTTAACTCTCTCCAAATGGTCCTCAAGAGGTAGAATTTACTTAATTCCTGTATATTATACTCAAACCAGTAAACATCCACTGTTGGACAAAATTAAGATGATATATTGTCTCGAATATTTCTAGCTGATACTTTGCAATGTGCTCTCTGTATGGCAGCTACAAGATGCCGGATGTTGGACAGCTGCTGCAACATTGGCTGCTACACATTTAAAAGGATCTGATTATGCACGGTAAGTTACATGCTATCCCCCGTTCTTTAATTCTTGCAACAATTTGACTTTTACGTTTGCCAACGCACAACTTTGACTGTAAATATATTTAATTATGTATTAGTAAACATTATAAAAAGCTGATATTTTGAAAATTCACATTGATAGGAATTCAATAACATTTTATACGTAATAATTTGATTATGTATATATTAAATTATTAACAAGTTTGTGTCCGTTCTCTATTACTTTTTAAACGTAATGTTTGCACATTTGGTAAGAAGAGTCACGGCAATATACACTCTTGAAGAGCTATGTACTCTTTGGGCTCTTTGACAGTGGGAGTTGGCAACATTAGAACTCATGTATCCATCAAGCAGTACAGTTTTCTGCAGCGTAATTAAATTTATCTTTCCTATTCTTCATATACTGATATGAAGCAGAATCTGGGCTTGGAAGAAGAGGGGCAGAAGCCCCCGTGGCTTTACCGAAGGCGGGACGGGCTTGAGCCCACCTTCGTGGGCTGGTTGCGGGCTGTTTAATTAATATTTATTCTTTTTATTTTTCTTGATTTGTTTCCTTTTGAAGTTAATTAGGATTTCTAATATTTGTTTCCTATTAAGAGTTAATTAGGATTTCTATTATTTCTTTCCTATTTAAAGTTGATTAGAATATTTATTATTTTGTTTCCTAGTTGGAGTTGATTAGGATTTCTAGGATTTTGTTTCCTAGTTTAAGAATTAGTAGATGGGTATTTAAACCCCTTGTTAGGATTCATTCTGGCTCATCTGGGAATAAAATTGGAGTTTAGCCTTTTGGCTCTGAGCAACGGTATTTTTCTCGTTGATTATCTGGGCAACGGTTCACCTCGTTGATTTTATTTTTCTGCTTCACAACATATACTCCGTATTTTTTACTTTAAAAGTCAGATGTGAATGACATCAAAGAGTTTATTGAACAATCATTGTAGAATAAGATGCTTATTGGATTGATTTTCTTCTGCATTTTAATCTTACAGGGTTTTGCAAAGGTGGGCTGATAATGTGCTGCGTTCTGAACATAATATCTGGAGGTATGATTAATGTTGGATACTGACCAAACCCACTACACAAGATCAAACTAACAAAAAATTGTTTTATCTTGCAATACCTGCAAAAGTATTCCTATATTTGCATTCCTACCTTTGAATTAAATGTTCATGTGTATAACTATTGCTAATTGAGTTTGGACTAGAAACTGTGATGTTCCTTCATGAACTAGACCTAGCCATTCCATCTTTATTGATTTACATTTGTAATAAAAAGAGGGATATTGAACTGCAGGGCGTTGATCTTGTATGTTGCAGCGGGTGCATTGCAAGAGGCCCTGGCAGTACTTCGTGAGGCACAGCAACCAGACACAGCAGCACTGTTTATACTTGCTTGCCGTGAAATACATGGGGAGTTCCTCCTGTCCAGCACGGAACTGGACGATGAATCCAGATCTTTGGTGAATGATAAGCTCATGAATTTGGTGGGGGGAGTATTCAACCCAGAGAATGAAGACGCAATTGCTGTAGGTGATTTTTATGAGCAATACCAGAGGAAACTTGTCCATCTGTGCATGGACTCTCACCCTTTTTATGACTAGAAAAGGTTACTAGGTAGTGAACTATACTACATACTACGATTGTCAATTATTTCTCAATAATTGCTGAACTCACATTTGTTTTTTGACTGTCTCGCCCTTGAACTACCAGAGCGTCATAAATATAAGGCATACCATCATACTTGCTGACCATCGATGAACTGGTCGGATTAACCACCCAAAGTTCGCTAATGTCACTATATCTTGAACGGAAGCAACTGCCTCTGTAAGGGTCTCCCATTTCAACCTTTCCTTTTCCCTTTGTTCTATTTTTGAGACATGGCTAAATTGTTGAGTAGGAATAGGTAAGGATCTTCTGCCAAAAGACTGAATAATTAGGCATGAGCTGACGACTGCCGTGCACCACCTGTGTCCACGTTTGTGAAGGCACTCCTCTCTTTCAAGAGGCTCGTGACATGTCAAGCCTAGTAGTTGCTTTTAACTATGAAAAATCAAGATCAAGTGAAAAATCAAGACCAAATCCATATTTGAATTAAAATTAGGACACTCATGAAAGTGATTTTCTTCTAAATCATTACGTTCAAAATTCAGTCTTGTGAGGAGAACAAAAAGTATAATCTAATCGCTCTTTCGGTATCTTTAATGTACGTAGTCCTGTATTTTCGAAATGAAAATTGTCCCTAATTATTTAATTTAGCAATTACTTAGTTACACAAATAATTATATGATTATGTATACTTCAAATTTAAGGTATTTAATTTATAATGTTTTTCAAAATTTAAGTAATGTAATGTAATATAGTCCTTAGTTTGTATTAAAATATTAAATTATCAGAAAATTGGTGGGGGGGGGATGTCCAAAACCGGGACTAGGACCAGCCGGTCTACCTGACCCGGTTCGGAATCGCTTTAAAGCAGGCTGATCTTGGCTATCCAGAATATTTGGCAAAGACCGGCCGGTGTCAACCCGGAACTGAGATCTGGCTGGACCAGGTCCATGCCTAGATATTGGTGATTATGTGTAGTACATAGTCTTGTGCATTAGATACTTATTGTGGTTCTTTATATACATATTATGAATGTTTAATTGGACTAAAAATTTTGGTCTAGTCTGTTTATGCTTGATCTAGTAAATGTCTGGTTCTATGTACTTTATAAATGTCAAAGTATGGTCTGAGATTAAAATCAGTTCAAGTAAAAATGTCATATATGCTAGATAGTGATTCTTAGGCGCATATATGTAGAATGTATTGAATATTGATTCTTGTGTGTTGCATGCTAGCCGGACTTCAAGTTGCGTCTTTTAGTGCTACGTCAAGTTGTTTTAGTACAATATCGTTAAAAAGCAGTGCACATTATATTCTAATTCATGGTGATGCACGTTTTGTTTGTGGTTAATATAATACGATAGTATAAAGTAATTAGTAGTGCACAACTCTTAAATCTGATCATGTACGTACTAATAATTCGTCCTCATTTCTCTACCTAGATAACATTTTCATTTTATCTTGCCGAGCTATACACATGGACTTGTAGTGATATACTTTGATCAACCATTTTTATTAATATATTTTTGTAAAAGCTGTAAAATTAACATACTGTTGTGAAAGTATATATATTTAATAAAGAATTAAAGACCATTTAAAAAATTTAACATTATTGACTACGTAGTAATAAATTTAAAAATGAAACGAGTAAAATTCTAAAGAGAGTAAATACGTAAATTTATTTTATTTCCCTCGCAAAAATAAATTTATATTTTTATAATAGAACAATTTAAAACGGCTAAATATAGCCTCATTGCTATATTTATCACTAGCTTGAACGATAAGTCTATTATTGATTTCCCCAACTTATTTTAGTTTAATTCATCGTTCAAAAAGAATCAACAAGACATAAGAAGGGAAAGTTCCCCAAATAGGACTAAAACAGTTTGAAAATTCCAAAATAGGACTGCCATGTTTTTTATTCCCAAAATAGAAGTAATTACTGCCAAGTTTGGAAAATACTGCCATGTTTGAAGTCTGGTACTGCCAAAACATGGCAGTAATTAGTCATATTTTGGAAATAAAAACATGTCATTCCTATTTTGGAATTTCCAAACCTTTTTAGTCCTATTTTGGATAAATTCTCGACATAAGAAATTATCGCATAACACACTCTTTTTTAATTACTAAATGAAGGAAACGATGAAGGTAGGACAAATACCTCAGATCAACCACTATCATATTTCATGTGCTGCTAATTTTTGAAGAAAAAACTATATCCAATACGGAGTAGCACTTTTAAGGGGAGTACTACAATATCTCATAAATAAATGAGGGTTCGTACTATACCTACAATACATTTAATTGGATTCCCAAATCATTATTAGTACCTACAAATACCATATTTGAGGTACAATAGAATTGCTTTGTTTTTATAATTATTCCATCACTTCACTCGAAATAATCCAGAATTGACAAATGAGTCTATTTTGTTAATACTCCATGCACCAATGAGGCTCCTCTCAGACTAAATACACTCCATACATTCTATACACGCAAGAATAAACTCCGTACAAAATATGATGCACACGCTAAGTTGACCACTTGACCATTTATGCAATGCAAATAAATCTCCATCTATCTCAAGACGTATGTAAAAGTGTGTACAGTGATTGTGAATAAAAGTCTTTTTTCCTCAAAATTATACGGAGTATTCATAGTCTCATTTGATACCCTTATTCATCTCATTTGACATGCTTATTGATATAGTAAAAATGCTTAATTACGATTGTAAATAATAGAAGTATCAACTATCAAGTATAATTAATATGGAGTATGAACCAAATAAGTCATTCTTCAATGAAAATATGAAGAAAAGTTCAAACATCTCAGAAAGAAAAGTGGGAAGGAAACTTTGGGACGGAAGTAGTATAATATGAAACAACAAAGAAGGCGATTTGGACGGCAAGGAGTTTCGACCATGCGACCATTCAAACCGTGTCCGATCGAATAAATGAATAATGTAGTATGATTGGAATTGTATTAGTCATTTAATTTGTTTGATTATAAATAGTTGTTGTTAGAATGAAGATTTAAATCAATCTTGTTGAGCATAAAGTGAGCAGTTTCAAGGCATATATAGCTGTGTACTGTCCTCTTCATTCTTACAAAATGAGTAGTTTTGAGGTAATGTCTCTTTTCCTCTCCATCTTGATGTGTCTGTAACAGTAGTACTTTTCCATGGAATTGAGTGGGAAAAAGTATTGGAGTGATTAAATTACTATTTCACTTCTACAAATCAACTCTCAACATTTCTAAAGTTTCACCACTTCCTCTGATTTTGTGGGACCAGGTCAGGCCTTGTTAAAGCAACTCACTTCTCTGTCTTTTCTTCTCCAACACTTTACCTCTTTCAAGATTCCCGTAGCCTCTTCTTAGTTCCTTCCATTACCCCATCTATCTATATTGTTGCCAAAAACAGTCAAGAAACTATAATTTACATGATCATGAGCTACACCTTTTGATCTATTAATATAAATATATCTGAGTTAGTTTTACTGTTGGTCAACTTTACTCATAGTTAGTTTTAAATTCATTATTAGGTTAGTGTCATGCGGAATGTTGGTTGGCTTTTACATTTATGGAACCAAACTTTCCAAATGACTACTTATTTCAACCATCATGATCATCATCACAATCCAGCCACAGTTTTGCTCTCTCTATTCTTCTTTCTTCTAATCGCCATGGCGGATCACCCACGAAGAATTTTGAGATCGTCATCGGTGGAAGAAGCTTATAAGGTCATCGACAAGACGACCCGTAGAGAGTATTCGTCATTGTCGTTTTCCCCAATGGCGCCACCCCAAGGAATTCCAAAGGCCGGGACAGGGGTCCATAACAGCAACCGCAATAGTAATAGTAACAGTAAGAGCAAGAGCGTCATTGTTCCATCATCGTCACCATTTTTGGGGAAAAATGGCTGCGGCAGCTTCTGCTTCAATGCCAGTGCTCATGAAGTTCCTAGTGGCCCAAACCCTATTTCCAATAGGTAGGTCAGTAGGTGTTATTATGTAATAATAATTGCTTGGTGAGCAGTTTAAAATCTGCATGTGCCCTTTTGTTTCTTAGCCGGATTGGTGATTAATTATTGACACCATTGTTATGTGAGGTTCTCAATTATAGTGTATGAGACGATTTTGTAGAAATAATTTTGGTATTTGTTTTCCAAAAGGAAAAATAAAGAAAATGAATGTTTAGAAGTTGGATCAGATCTCCATCATATCATACTATTATTAATCATTATGAATGTCTTTTCTGTTCTCATTTTTGTTCTTCACTCATAGGTTTATTAGGTTTTTTGACTTTTCTCTATGCATCATCTCATCATCTCTCTTTCTCTCTGAGGGCCCCCCAACATTTACCGGATGCACGATGGGAGGATGTAAATTGGACTATAATCACAATCTGACATATAGAGAGTGGAGCTCTGTCCCCGGTACTTGCAGAGGCCCTATTTAATTTTTAGCATAGTAACCCCTCATCGCAGTTGCCGGGATTCGAACCCGAGACCTAACCCTTGTGGCACTCCCTCGCTACCAGTTGAGCTACGGTTATATTCGTAGTTATTAATATGGATGCGACCCTTGATTTATGGTGTTTACACTTATAATATATAGTTATGAACTTATTTGTAATATGATGATGTATATATAATGCCGCTGATGAATGATGCTCCGTATGAAATATACGAATAAATGTGTTTTTGTACACAAAAGATAAATGAGATTTTGTGTTCTTGACAGGTGGTTTTTGAAATTTGAGATTGATTGAGCTGAAAAGTGATTATACTGGTATAAAATAGTTGTATGGCGAGTTTGATGTACCTTATGTAGTCCGGAAACTTTCGAAAAAGAGTACCTTTTTATTTTGGAAATTCTTTGGAAACTCTTCAAACAGTTGTTTTTCAAGTAAAATGTGATGTTTCCCATTTTCTCATAATTTTCACGTTTCCAAGCAACAAAGGATAAACATTTGTTACGAAAAAAGAATATACGTATATGGAGTACTAAACAATTTGTTAACAGAAAATTTAAAGAAAGAATTAGGCGATTACATAAACCATATACTCCGTATATAGCAGGAACGTACGATGTCCGGGTATTGTTCCATTAAATTTGGACATATCTAATTTGGGTGTGAAATGAAACTATGTTTTTCTGTACGGAAGGAAAATAAATACATTTGTTTCATTTGGTTAACAAAACAACGCAAAATCGTGTCAAGCGTCAAAGGTGTCAAAAAATGTCATTTTCTTAGATTGTGTGTAAAACAATGTGACACTTTTTAAATAGGAGGGAGTAATATAAACCATTTTCTTGCTTTAAAAGGAAAATGCCATAATTTTTAGAAGAAATCAAATTCGGATAATTTGCAAAGTTTAAATTTGTAATACAAATACTCCCTCCGTCTTTAAATAAAATGCACACTTTCCTTTTTGGGTTGTACCTATATAAAAGGTAAATTTCTCTTTTTGACAAACAAAACAGTGTAAAACAGTGCAAAATAGTGTCAAATATCATCAATAGTGTTCGAACAGTGTTCCTGATTAGGATGTGTGACAATCAGTGGCGGACCCAGAAAATCGGGATCACGGGGTCCCTGCTTATTAGGTTTATCAGCTAATTTATTTACGAAACACGTAACTTTTGATTTCGTGCGTTGAATTGTGTAATAATAAGAAAACGTAAGTTTAGAGTTACTTTTATGGCTGTATTGACTGAAGTTACTGTATAAAATCATTTAAACTATCTTTCATACTTTAGCCAATCCAGTCGCTTCATAGTATATTTCAGTTTTATTGGTTGTATTGGCGATACTATAATTTTTTCTTTACTTTATTAATAAAATATATTTTAAATATTTTTTTCATAAATAAGTAGAATCAACCAATCAAGTCACTTTAGCCGTAACTTCATAAATTGCAGTAGAATCAGTCAATATAGCCTATTCGAGTATTACCAAACAGGCTCTAAAGTAGCATAATGTTTCATAATTAACGTACATTACGAAAATATTAAGATAGTCATAACACACAAAATAAAATTACATATGAAGTATATATTTCGCTCTACAATTCTACAAATCTACCTTCTTAGCAAGGATGGCAATGAGGGCGGGGACCCGTGGGGAACCGCCCCACGGGGGAAGGATGGGGTGGGGCGGGGGCGGGGATGGCTGCAATATTTTTACCCCGTTAAAATATGGGGCGGGGGACGGGAATTGCTACACCCGCCCCGTCCCCGTTATAAATATATATTCTAATACACACACACATAAATAATGTACAAACATATTAAATTAAATTATATGTAGTATGTAACAAACACACATACATATAAATATACAAATACATATACATATAGACATACATAATTGGATACGCGCGCTGTAGTGTCATGGTTAATGAATTAATACATACTCCATATTATATTAGAATAATAATAAGTATTGATTAAAAATATTTATCATAAATGTTATATGAGTTTTAAGAGTGAGTAAATAAATACACACACATTTATATGTAGTATGTAATTAATTGTATTATAATTGTTGACAAATTTGGAACGACGTACATACATGATGATAATATGTTTACTTATATTTTTACTTTTAGTGTCTCCAACTTACAGAACTTATTCAAATTGAAGAATTATTAGAATTGGCGATATGTATTAACTTTTAACAAACACAATACTTGAGTTTGCATATGTGTGTGTGTGTAGATTTAAGATCAAATGCAACCAATGCTTCGCTTGATAACGTGAGAACACCACATTTACTCCAATGTAATGCACAATGAGGCTGGCACGATGCACTTTTTCGTATTAAGCATAATATTTACAACAGTATCACCATCACACCGTGATTATTTATATTAGCTTGTATTGAGTAAAGTCCAAATGTGCACTTGAAGGACTCTATTGTGTATCATATTGCATTAAATGTGACTATTTTTACGTTCTCGCGTTAAATATCGTTCTTCTTGAAAACGTACCCTATATATAATGGATTAATAATATATGCAAATACAATAAATTAAATCTAAATGGGGCACCCGCGGGCACCCATGGGGGACAGCGGGGTGGGGCGGGGATGGGGCGGGTCTGGAAGTAACGGGGGATGGGGCGGGGATGGGGGGAGCTTTTTAGACATGGGGCGGGGATGGGGGAGTATACCCCGCCCCATTGCCATCCCTACTTCTTAGGTTTCAACATGTTGAATTGGTCTTGTAGACAGTTAGTCATATGAATTTCACATTTAACAATTATTTGAATCATTTTTTCATTTAATAATGACGAATCATTTGAATTAACGTTTGATTTACTCCCGGTGCTCCAAATTTCTTTAAATCCGGATACAATATCGAAATATGTTTTCATCGGCAAAGTTATTCATAAATATCATACATTTAATAATTAATCTTAACAGTCAAACCAATTTTAATAATTAATCCAAAATTTTTAATTATGTAAAATGTAAACTTCAAAAATAATGATCTTTCACAAAAATACATTCAAAAAACAAAAATGGAGAACTTGGGAATTGAACCCAGCACCTCCAGGGAAAGGTAGCACACAGTTCCGCAATGCTACCATCCGTCCGCTTTGTTCTTTAGTTTTCATACTCGCTTTCGTTATATCTATACATGCCCCTTAGTAAATTTTATATAAAATATATATAATAAATATAGTAATATTTTTGAACGCACACGGGTCCCGGGACCCCATGGGACCCTTAGTGGGTCTGCCACTGGTGACAGTCAAAGTATGTCTTTTATATAGGGACAGACGAAGTAGTTTTTATAATGAAGTAATACAATTAGTTAGAAAAGCATACTTGGAATTCGGCAAGCTTTAATTTATGACTTCCTTTAGATTTTTAATATCTTTAATACGAAGTACTACGTAAGCACTAACGTGAAATTAATACTACCTCTCAAAATTTAACTTTTGTTCTTTAGGTTGTTTTTAACGTAACATACATACAGTCAATTTAACTTGTTTCGATGTCTGATTTAAATGTCAAACATTTATTATACTCGATTTCGATTTTGTACGGTTTCACCAAGGCCTTAACATATATAATTTCTGAATATGTAATTTTAACTATTGATTTTATTTTGAATTTTTAGGTTAATATATATGGCAGTATAGAGTTATAGTAGATCGATCAGACGTGAAGGGAAAGTTAGTTGTTTCTGGGGGAATTGAAGATGATAATGGAATGGTCCAAATAAGAAAAGTGGTTAAGTAGCGGTAAAAAGGTGAAATGTGGAGGAAACATAATGATCAAAATAGCTAGGGATTATGAGTCTTTTTATATGGCGTGTTAAGACTGCATGCAATTATAAAAAGACCACAAAAAAACACCAACAAAGAAAGATCGTTGTTTTTCGTGCAAAGTATACCTAAGTATATATTTTTATTTATCTAATATGCTATTATATCCATATTACATATGCTAACAAGTTTACTAATGCAAGATTGGTGAATAGGTAGTATTATCTCCGTCCCACTAACAATGAGATAAGAGGGAGTGACACGCAAATTAATAAAATGTGAGTTATGTGGTTGATATTGAATTGATAAAGTAAGAATAAAGTAAGAATGATTTGGAGTCACATAAATATTTTGCTAAATTTGGTGTGAGACGAATCGAAAAGGTAAAATGAGACCATCTTAACAGGATGGATATAGTATATACTAATATTAACTAAAACACGAACACAATGTTGTATTCTTTGAGTCTTTGTTCAATGGATAGATATGAACAGGGGCGTAGCTCTAGATAGAGGCCATTGTAGGCCACGAGGCCGTCCACTCCGAATTTTAAAAATGTTTTCATTTACGGAATTTTAAAAATGCATGCTTTCAAAAGTATATTTTGAAAAATTCTATGTACCAAAGCAGCCCGGTGTATTCTCTTGCCTATGCCACTAGATCAGATATGAAGAACCACAAAAATCCTAAATAGCTAGGTGAATAATTGGCCATCGTGTAAATGTCTTTGAGGGTAGATTTTACCCTCGATGAAAAATTGATCAAGAAAATCCCCTTTTTACCGGTGTCATGATTTTGCAAGAATGTAAAAAAAGGTGTTGGAGAGGACTTTGAACACTCTTTTTTAATTATGTAAATATGTGTCAAAAAACACACATATATATTGTTTCACGTATATTTATGTAGTTATATTTTATTCTCAAAATATCACTTATTTGGTTCTATTGAAAACATAAGACCTCCACAATTAGGAGTGAATAATTAAATTCTATCTACATTAGGAATGCTTTCAAAAAAAATAAATCTACATTAGAAAAAGAAAATTATGTTATCCGGCATATTTGTGCATCTTTTATGTTTTACTACTATTTAAGAAGTTTTTCATGTATAAATAAACAATAAGATTACATTTAAATATGAATTTTAATTGTTTCATGATATAAAATTATAGAAATGATTACATGCTTATGACTAAAATAGATGTGTTAATTAACCAAAATGTAACTTCTTAAGTATAATGACTATAACATACGAAGTAATTTTTGTCATAATAATTAACTTGTGTTTAATTTTTACACTTAAGTAGCTATAATGCTATACACATGCACGATAACTATGTTATATTTTCGAAATAAGTTTTATATCAATAATATTTTGAAACAATCTCTAAATACATAATAATCTCTAGCCTGCCTAAAACGATATTTCAGGCTCCAATGGACAATTTGATAAGACTAATGTGGATTTCCATAGACCAAATTTGTTGAGTATTTGAACTACTTACATAATGTAATATCACGGGTTGATATTATCTAGGAGTTTTTCTTACAATATACGTAGTATATACGATAGTATATATATACTACATATTACTCAAATAAAACACACAGAATAAATATTCGATCATGACCATGTGATCACCACAAATATCTTCATGATCATTACATAGTCAAATAAAATAAGATTAATTATGACATTTGAAACTATCATGAAAATATGATAATCATGCAATGATCTAATGAGGATGATTAATAATATTTAAAAGAAGCTAAGTATGATTTAAATGATAATGTTAAAAGTGGCACTTATACTCATTTATACACCTAAGTTATTCCATGCCAAATAAAAGTAACTTTGACGGGCGCACACAAGTGTTGAAATGATGAATTAAAAGTAAGTCCATGGCTTATGAAAGTATTTAATTATCTTTTATATTGATAAATTAAATATGGTCAAGGTCGTCGTGTGTGTAACAAATTAAAGTCTGATTCGTGAAGGAGGCTAATAGACAGGGGAGGATCTATGTACAGGCTATGGTAGGCTGAAGCCCAGGGCAACTTAGAAAATTTTCAATTTTTTTAGTGTAAATTTTTTCATTTTTCACAATTAGCCCACCCCGCTGATATTTGACCCTAGTATAATTCTTATTCAGCCCAGTGCGTCTCAGATTCCTGGATCCGCCCCTGCTAATAGACTACTATAATAATTGTAACAATTAGAATCTAAGTAAACGACATTGATTTAACTTCGATTGAATTCACTGTACATGTGTTAAGTGTACGTTTATAACGTTCCTGATAAAATGGGTGATTGGGATTTAAGTCTTAATTGTGATTAGTGAAAACTAAAACAAAGCATTTCACAACAAGTTGGTCATGATCTGAAAATCTCATGCACATCCTCTTTACTACGCGTAAGTACATGCATAAATTAATTGGAATACAATCATATACAAAAGCCAATATATATCAAAAAATTAGTACCCGACCCGACCAATTTCCTTCTGCCCGGCAGTGTCCCGCTTTAGAAAACTTTTGAGTTTGCCACGGTAAAAGTGTAATCAGATATTCAGTCAAGGAAATCTGGTGTAACTTCATTAATAAGAATTGTAAAGCTGCATATTATTACTCGATCTTCAATTAAGTTGTACCATTTGTACGAGATTGTATTATACTACTATATGTAAAACAGTAAAGGTCAATTTATATATCACTGCTACCTGTTACGCCAACATATGTATCTTTTATGTATGCTAGATCCTTAACAGCATTCCCTTTATTAATTAACTTTGACATATATTCCATCACCATTGGTATAATAAAAAAACAAAAACAAAAACATGTACATTATGTGAAAGAAACTTCTTTCTACATATCGAGTATTATATACTACTTCCGTCCCTAATAAAACTTCCAAATATAGGTTGGGCACACAGTTTAAGATAGTGAGTATTGTGTGGTGGAAAGTTGTGCAGAGGAGGAAGAAATGTGTAAGAAGTGTTGTGAACCACAAATTCTTTACCGAAAAGGGAAAGTGAAAACTTTAATTGGGACAGACGAAAAAGGGAATTTAGAAGTTTATTTAAGGATGGAGGGAGTACATAGTATTACTAAAATCTCTCACTTTGTGATTTCATTTTTCATTTCAAAATTTCAATTTGAGTTAGACATTTGTTATAATGTTAGAGCATATATATCCACATTCATTAGATTATTTAATGTTTAATTAGATGATGTGTAAGATTATTTTAAAGATAATCATTATGAGTGAGAGATTATTTAGGGAGATTATTGAAAAAGAAAATCTGGTATCAAGATTTGAATCCCGGATTATTTTAGATTGTAGTTAAATTGCATTTAATACATGGTCTAGGGGATGACAAAATAAATTGGTAATTATTTATATTTAGGGCACTTGAAGTCTATTTGTGATGATTTCCCAAGTATTGAAATGTTCCACGTTGCAATTCAATTATGGAAGGTGTTGGGGAAATTGTCCATTTCGAATACTCTTTTAGTCTTTTTCGTTGAAATTAAACTTGAAAATGGGTAAGCTAGAATAGTAGAATACAATAGAACATAATGTGCAGAATCTGGAGTGTTTGGGTGAAAGTACAGAATTGATACTGGTAGTCAAATTTACTCCTAGAATCAGTTTTTTAGAATCTGTGGTGACCAGATTCTGAAAACTGATTCTGATTATGCTTCTACTTTAAAAAAGAAGCAGAAGCAGATGCAGAATCAGTTCCAAACACCCCTTAGTGGAACAGATGAATGGATAATCTTTAATATCATTGGACATCTTTAATATTGATTTGATGATAATCATTAGCCTAGTAATTATTTTTGTATGCAAAAAACAGCAAAAATGTGACTAGTTTTCACTTTTCTAAAAATGTGACTAATCTAATTTTTTTGCTTAATCTACTATTTTTACTTTTAGATCCTTTCAAACTACCCACACAATAATATCCCTGGCACGACAATTCCCGGTTCCCGGATGACAGCGATGATGACAAAAATGACACTGGCAGTCACTAATAATGACATAAAATAGATGGTGATATATTGTTATTTACTCCGTATTATTTATCTTGTTAATCACATTATTGTCCATATATAAATGTGATAATTTTTTTTGGAAATCAATTTTAAGGGAAAATCCTAATAAAAGCGATGATATAAGGCACGGAGTATTTTTTAGGAAAAGCTTACTAAAATGGAAAGATGGGGGCACATAATACGAGTAATGATAATAAAAATCTTCCCGAAAAGGAATATGTGGCTATTAAATAAAATGGAGGGATCGGAGTGGATTAAAGTTGATTTTCAAAGAAAAAGTGATCATTTTTTGTGAAATAGAAACTTTATTAATAATATAAAAGGGGCACAAGATGAAAAAAGGATCATTTTTTTTTCTCAAAGTGACCAATTTCATATATGCACAAAAATGGGACTAACAAAATAATAAATTTGAAAGTGTAATGTCATTGTTATTTTTTATGTCACTACATTTGTTCTATTATTACACTGTTGGTGACAGTCACTGTTGCTACCGCTGAAACCATTGTCGCGGCGATATATTTCTCTATGGCCATCGAATTTTTTTCCAGCAAACCTTTCAAACGTAAATATAAAATTGAATCAGTACCTTTATGACCTTTGACGATTTCTGGGAATATGTGTCGATAGTTGTTGCTAGAGAATGAGTGGTTTGGTAAAAACAACCACACTTGAGTTACACACTTTTCATACACACTTATACACACTCATGTCTGTGAAGAGTTATTTTTTGTCTGTGTACAGACATAAGGTACTCCGAATACGTTATGTCTGTATACAGACAAAAAATAACTCTTCACAGACATGAGTATGTACAAGTGCGTATGAAAAGTGTGTAACAATTGCATTTTTGTTGGTAAAAGAAAAGTGTATTAATTAAACAAAGGTCAATCACATTTTCGAAGAAATAACAACTAATCATACTTTATCTTCCAAAAATATACAAGTAGTAGTGTAGTACTCTTGTCATTTGAGTACCCTACTTTTTCTCCTACATTTCACTATTTTCCTCTTTTTAATATGGATATTTTTCTTTGGGAAAATGGAAACTAATAATCCAACCTTTTAGCGGTCTTCTTTCAATAATCCCACCTTTTGATTATTCATGAATAATCCAACCTTTGCACCCCATCTTTATTCACTGGTCCCTGGTCGGTTAATGACCAACTATTCCAAGTTATTTTCTTATCTTTGCAAAATATTATCTTTGTGAAAGATGAGATTTATGGTATAATGATTTGCAAAGATAAGAAAATAGCTTGGAATAGCAGGTCATCAACCGGTCATGGACCAGTGAATGAAGATGAGGTGCAAAAGTTGGATTATTCATGAATAACCAAAAGGTTGGATTATTGTAAGAAGACCGCTAAAAGATTGGATTATTAGTTTCCATTTTCCCTTTTTCTTTTCCCTACCTTTTCATTTTCCCTACCCTCTCTATATTACCCCTTCTATTTTCTTTAGTAAAGCCCACAAATATCTATAGGACACTTGATTTAGAACAAAGTGAGTAATATTTAAGGCAAAACTTCTGGTAAATATATCAAAAGAGAAAATTAATATACTAGTTTTTCTACAATTTTCATCTTACCCCTTACTCTTTTACACTTCATATATCAGTCACTAGTCACTACATCCATAGTTTTATTTTAAACTCCAATGAAAGTCTAGAACAACGCCAAAATCAACATCAAGCCTTGGTCATGAAAATATTTAGATGTTTTGTGACACTTTTAGAGTTTGGTTAGCTACGTAACTTTTTGTGTCTAAAACTCATACATCGTGTCATTATGTAGTTACTCTCCTATTTTTGAAAGATAGCTTGTAATGTTTCCAAGAGGGGAATGCCTTATAGTTTTTGGAAGAGATGAAAAGGGAGGAATAATTTTTGTTCTAATTTAATTTTACATTTAGAGAGCCCAAAAAACTAAGATGGAAAATCATATAGAAGTATAAACACACAGTTATACTAAGACTTGTACATAAGGACACTGGACATATGGGTTCCAACTTTACAATTTTTGTATTTAGAATACCAAAATAAATGTGAGAGATTTGTTCAAAAGCATCTGCTCCTTTTTCAGTTTTTCCAATGAGTAAATGGTATGAACTATAAAAGCTAGTGTGCACATACAAAATTATCATCTCAAATTGTTTCCTGATGTACAAAACTCAGAGAAAATACTAATTCCTAGGTAGCATATTTACTATATCAGGCAGGTGAGACCCCTCGAAGTTAAGACCTGTCAACCAACTCCAAAATGCTGTTTACTTTTTGTCACCAAAGAAATTTGCAGCCACTTGCAGAAAGCTCAAAGGGTGTGTGGCCACTGGCCAACTGAATTTCCAGGTTCGGTTCTCATTACACACACATAAATAAATCATCACAAAAGATGGACTTTCGCCTGTTTCTTAATGCGAGTGATGGACAGGTTGCACCATGTTCTTACTCAGTGTGTCTTGCAACATTGATTCCTCAAACATAAGCCGAAATTTGAGATACCAAAACCTCAAAGGAACTTACATCAGGGCCAGCCTATATGAAATAGGCCTTCTTTGGATCCAAGCCAAGCCCCTTGTGTCCTACTCCGTAAACCGTGAATCCCTGTCAAAAGGTTCATGTACTTGCTGACAAAGACGGTAAAACGATGTGTCATGCAGGGGGGAATGTTTTGGTGCTCCGCTCCATATTCCGGCCACTTATAGTCAGTTTGGAAGATGTTTTTTGGAGGGGAGGGCCAAATGCAGACTGTAGATCATGATTTATATTCGAGAATTTATAAAAAAAATGAATAACATAATGAACTGTAAAACATTCATTCAATCACACCCTTTATTTTTTTCTAAAACGTTCTATATATCAAGATATAGACCCTCCAAATTATTCCCCTCTAACCCCTCCCCTAACTCCTTTGGGTTAGGCTTGGATGTTTCTGTAAGCCGCTTCCCAAAAACTTTCATTAAAACAAACCCTTAGAGTCCAATTTGGAACCCCCGCGAAATGCCAGGGAAAGAAAAAAGGAAAATTAGATGACAGGTTCGGAAGGAACAAAAAGAAAGTGGGGTTGGTTGGTACTGTTTGGACACTCTTTGGCACTGTTTTTCAAAGTTTTGCACTGTTTTGTTTGCCAAAAAAGGGAAGGGGGCTTTTCTTTAGGGACGGCCCGAAAAGGAAACATATGCTTTTATTTAGGGACGGAGGGAGTATCATTTTCTTCCTATCAAGAAAATTACTCAGATTTGCTTTTCCTTCCTATTACTCAAATCATTTTCTTCCTATTACAATAATTACACAGATTTGCTTTCCCTGGCTATTTTACAAGGTAAACACGCCCATAAAAATTATTATTTTCTTTACCATTTTACCCCTTTCCCTAATCCCTGCCATAACTTGGCCACCAAACAGGGCCTTAGTGTTTGACGTGTGTAATTTGCAAGCATCTTTGTTGGAATTGGAATGTGACTATGTGAGTTATTTAAAAGATCCAAAAGTGTGAAAAAAACCTTCCATTCCAGGCCAGCATAGTACGGAGGGGATTGTATCCATGAATTTTTCTTGGAACAACAATTCACCAGATTTGATACTCCAAAGCCGCAAGTAGCAGTCTTCTCCGCCTAAAATAATAAGAATATTATTTTCATATAAGTTGATCCATTTGTTTTTACGCATAACACTGAAAATGGCCTTTTACCGGACATGATAATACTCTCTGATGGATCAACTCCTAGCTGTATGCGTGTATGAGAATTGACATTGCCTTCATAAGATTGCATAGCGCCTCTCTGAGTTAGCCGATTATCATATAAGTTGATCTGGAAACGCAAGTCACAATTACATCAAATGATAGAGGTTTCATTTAGAATCTAATGGATAATCAGAAAACCAGTTGTCTCTGAAGTTCTGAAAAATAATTAATATAGCTACAGTCATTCCTAGTGTGTTTTTATGCCAAAGGATACATTTGATAGAGAACTCCAGAAATCTGTTGGTAATTTGATATATATATCACTAAGGAAAATGAAGACACGGAAACGGAATTACAGATGAGGCAAGTTCGAGTCTTCGAGAGTGCCTCTTCTCTCCCAAGTCCCAGCCCAATCCAAGTTCTGCCTACCCTTTTCCCTTTACCCGCTCATTATTACATTACTTCTCCTAAAGGTCCAGCCCTCAGCCCTAAGTCACTGGGCCTAGAACCCTTTTATTGTACAATATTAATAGACTTAATATTATTCTTATTACGAGGAGTGTCCGGGTCCCTATCAAAATTCCTGGTTGAAAACGTTATCTCATCTCCACCATTTATAGTCAGAGTTTACTTGTGAGTTTCTTCTGACCACCAACCGCAGATACATGCCACTATAATTCAAGAGTCTTCTAATTATAATTAGTATTATATTATGAGAAGTAATTAGGTGCTGTAAAAAAATCCTCCCATAACTTTAATAATAATTACTACATAGTACATACTACATATAATTTAATATTCCTTTAACATTATCTTTATAAGTCAAAATTTCACACCAACCTATTTAAGATAACGCTTGAAGGACCATGTTAAATACATGAGCTACATTTCTCAATAAATTTCTAACAACCCTCCTCCATTTGTTACAGCTCCATAATCAGAATGTTCATCCACTTATTAATTTATTATTATGGTACAGAACTATTACAGCTCCTTAATCAGAATGTTCATCAATTGGTATAAATTTCCCAGTGTCCCCTATATATTATATTCCCCAAATAGTTCTGATGTTTCCAATATATAAAAAAATCTTCATCTTTTGGGACTAAGGCTTGGATGTTGTTGTTGTGGTCTTAGAGACTTGGGTAGCCACTAATGATATTTCTCAAAGTCCCTGAAGAAACTCCGAAAATATCAAGAAATATTGAAAAATAATGAGCTCCCTACCTAGCTTAAGCTTCTCATTTGCCTCTTTTAGACGTCTCATTTAAAGCTGCTCATTTCTACTTTAGGAATTAATTAGCACTTTTTTATGACAAATTAATCATCAAATAAAAAAAATAATACACCTATATCATCACAATTATCATCAATGACCTCATTATGTTATATAACCTTTAAAAGTATTTCTAGAAATATACTCGAATTACCACATTTAGTTATTGTCAAAATAACCATGTCATTTTACAATGAGAAGCTTATGTGGGAACAGAGGTAGTAACTTTTTTATAACTATAGGGAAGTAATGAAAGATGTATGTGATATATAAGTTATCTCATTATCTTCTTTTTAAAAAAAAAAATCACAAAGCGCAATTGTTATTCCACCCAAAAAAAATCTGATATCAAATCTCCATCCACCTTTTCCATCATTTGCAATGAAGCCAAAGACTCGCTATTTTTTGGATTTGGAATATAATGGAATAAAGCAAAATGGCTCACTAAATTGTTTGCGCTTCTTTGTTATGAAGCAACAGTCAGTCCATGCAATTTTCGACGTGATTTTCACTATGGGTCATCCAGAAACAGTCTCTCTGTGCTTTAGTACAGGAGTAAGGCTGCGTACATCCAACCCCCCCCCCCCTACCCCACTGTAGGTGGGAGGAGCCTTTGCGGCACTGAGGTAATGATGATGATGATCAAACTGTCTACTGATTTTTTCCTATACCACTACTATCTTTCATTATACTCAGCTATTCATAGTTGTGATCTTCATTAATGACTTCATTAATGAATCACTTGAACCACTTGCAATAATACAATATCAATGAAATAACTCTACCCCTGGATCAAGATCTTACTATCCCAAACAAGTCATATCAACTCTCATTTAAAACCCGCCCTAGCAAATAATTCACTAAACCAGAATACAACTTTATCGTCTATAGAGTGGATTAGTGCATAACCATTAAAAAAACTCAATTATATGCTATTAGTACTTTTGAGCTTTCAAGTAATTCTATGGAAAATAGTACGTGTAACTCTTTTCATTAAATGAAAGTCATATTTCAGAACAGGACTGTCATCCTAACTTTAGAGGAGGTTCCAGGAACAATGTTGGTTCATCACTACGTTGATGGAGCTCCCATCAGAACCAAAAAATACATCTATGCCTTTGATCCTACTGTTAGCCTCATGTGCTTCCAAACTGGATTTGATATCCAAATTTGTTGTTAGTTTACAATGGCAAAGCAGTCCTCTCAATAGGGATGCACCTGGTCATGCAATCCACCTTATTGAACCTACTGCCATGAGAACAAGGCTGAACCTAGCCAAAAAGTGGTTTAAGAGAAGTTTGAATACTGCTCCTTTTGCAAGCACTGGGGTCACCATATTGACAACTGCTTCTGGAAGGCCCCTGGAGTGGAGAAGAACATATATATGTTCCCAAAACAATTACTGTGGAAGGGAATAGAGAAACAAATGAGAATGTTGTGGTGGGAAATGCGAGGAAAAGGTGTAACGGATGGAGATACCGAGATAAGCCAAGTCATATTGACTTAAACGAAAAATGATGTGAATTGTTCAACCCAAAAAAAGAGGTGACAGAATGAGAGGGAGGAGACTGGTGATAACTAGTAATGGGTTAGCTCAGTTGGAAAAGAGATTATACTGATTGTGAATATGATGTCTAAGGATTTGATGTACCGGAAAGAGGTGGTTAGGGAAGAGGTGAGGTGCTAAGAAATAATCATGATGTCAGGCGGTCAGGCCTCAATCGATCCATCCACGAATCTAAGGCTGAGTGCCAATTCTTTCCTTAGACTTCATACAATTATGATTCTTGTACAGTTGGTTTGCTATTTATTGCTAATCCCTTAGCCTCGGAGGAATGGAGGATCATATGAAGGACTATGCTGGTAAACATCAGTTTCCTTATTACTGTTCCAGTCCTATAAAAAAGTGGAAAATGTGGAAGGAATCTTGTGAAGGCAATATTATAGAGCAAGGAGCAGGTCATTTCTTTGAAGTGTTCTTGGAATAATGCTTATGCAATTCTGTCAGGAGTTCATGATAAGTTTTAGAGGAAGCTCAAAAAAATGCAGACAGTTTTACCCCTGTACTTAAGCACAGAGAGACTGTTTCCGAATGACCCATAGTGAAAATCAAGTCGAAAATTGCATAGACTGACTGTTACTTCATAACAAAGAAGCGCGGACAGTTTAGTGAGCCATTTTGCTTTATTCCATCATATTCCCAAGCCAAAAAATAAGGAGTCTTTGGCTCCATTGAAAATGATGGAAAGGCAGGAGCTATCCCATATCCATCAAAATTATTTCCTGCCCTGATTGGTGTGTGGGGATCTCAACACTGTTTTATCTGCGCTTCTGAAGACTATGACACAGTGTGGTCTAGAAGAATGTGAGATGCGGATAGGTTAGTTCTCCTGGAAGACTGGTATAAGGGTACCTTGTGGAAAAAAGTTATAGAGAGTCCCTGTTAATAATGCTTGGGCCTTGAAATTTCCAAATTTCACCACTTAATTCCTAAATAGAGACACTTTTGACTATGTTGCCTACTCGGGGAGTGATTAGGCTCCTTTAGGTTTCAAAATATGTGGATGTCTAATGAACCTTTATGGGGGTAGTTCAGGACTCATGGAGTATTCCATTTTCCAAAGGAGTTTTAAGGGCTTTGGTTCAAGCAAGTATGAACACATTTTTGGTATGCATTTAACAACAGCATAGCAAAAGTTGGAGGCACCTGAGAGAAACTTAGTCCGGGGGGGGGGGGGGGGGGGGGGATCGCAGGTAGTCGGCAAACGTGGCTGATAGCTTGCGGCACATGCTATTGTCTTTCTAGCAGTTAAACATCGGCCGTCCTTATTATTCTTTCCTTTTTAATTCTTAATTTCAGTTTTAGTAGGTTCCTAATTAATCTGTATTCAGTTTTAGCTTTCATTTTATTATAGGAACTCTGGTAATAGCTATCAAAGGTTCTCCAGCTTTAATTAACAAACTACTTTTTGGAAAACTGATTTTTGTCTTTTTTACAAAGTGGGTCACCGAATAGGCGAATAATTCAACATCAAACATAGATCCAAACGACATACACGCCCATCCCTCTCTTCTTCTTTCTCATCTTAGACCTATGATGAGTATTCTTGGCAAGCTCCATGGGTGGATTGGTTAGGCTAACAACATGGAACAAATAGAGCTTTACTAACATTCTTATAAACTTCGAGAAAGCTGAGGCGAAAGTAGTAAGCTAGAGAGAGCTTTTGAAGCTTCTGGATTCAATTATTATTGATTATTGAATAATTGCAAAAATCTCTAGTATAGTCTCTGAAGTGTCAAGGTACACATAATGAGAATAGAGTTTTCAAATATTTAGATAAGACTGAACACTGACCGATCCATCCATGGAGCTTGCCAAGAAATACTGATCATACAGCACCAGGGACGCAATACTGAAATTTCATGTGAAAAGGAATATTGAGTTTTACTTCCTTGTCTAAAATCAGCAACAGATAGATTGTAAACAGAAGGATATGGAGTATGGACTATTGTATGTGCATCCTGTGAAACCAAATCATACAAATATATTATTATGATGATGATGATGATCATCATCATTGTATACAACTCCTGTCATCTAATTTAGGAAACGAATCAAACCAATCCCTAAAATCAAGATATTCTAAATAATGCAATACCACTTATATGCATATCATACTATCATAGCAGAGAGATGGTTTGCGTTTCTTTATTTATTTTTCAGGTAAGTATCATCATCAAATAGGGGAATCCACTAACCATGAAATAGATGATGGCATAGATATTGTATCAGAACTGCATAAGTTCCCTTTGACCTGCGTATACATTTGAAGTGTGATTAGCTTCGTGCAAATAATGTATGCAAGCACAGAGTAAAAGTGTAATAGCACATTTGATCATGTTTATCCATATACACATGCACCAACCCCCAACCTCACAAACTATAAATAAAGGGAAAGGGAATGGAGAGAGTAGATGGTAGGATGAGCTTGGTATTTTAAGGCGTTACTGATTTTTCTTCATTAAGTAAATTCCATTTGGAAGGTGAGCCTTGGCGCACCAGTTGAGGTGTTGCTGTGATCGAGAGGTCACATATTCAAGCCTAGGGAGCAGCCTCCTGTCAAAAATTTGACTGGAGAAGGCTTGCCCCTTGATACACCCTTATGTTGGGACCCTTAACCGGACTCTCGCCTGCAGGATTCCTTCATGCACCAGGCTGCCCTTTTTTTAATTAATTTCCATTTGGACAGTTGGTTTTCCATGAATTGGATAATTTATGTGGAATTATAATCAAGAGTTTTTGCCACTTTTAGTACTCCGACTATTATGTCATTGACACTTTTGGTACTTGACTTTGAATTTTTCAACTTTTAGTCCTTCGACTATTCTATGAAAGACACCTCTGGTACCCATCTTTGAAAATTTTCTTATTTAGTCCTTCGACTTTCATAAAAATGACACTTTCAATCTTTCAACTATTACAGTAGTGACATTTTTAGTCTCCCACTTATTGTGTCAAAATCATAGTGGAAGGACTAAACGCGCCAATTTGATAATACTGAGAGGAAATGTGGGAACTTTGAAGTTGAGGACTAAAAGTGTGTCTCGCATAATAGTTGAGGACTAAAAATGGAAAAATTGAATGTCGAGTACCAAATGTGTCACTGGCACAATAGTCGAAGGACTGAAAGTGGCAAAACTCCTATAATTAATTAACTAGGAGTTTATAAATTTATACTTGTATTCCTGCTATAGGTCTAGTACTCAAGAGTACCAAAAGTATAGCTTAAGAGGCTAAACTTGTGAAATTTCTTAGATGAAACCATACAGCACATGGGAGATGATTGATACCGGGAATTGTTCCATGTGAAATTTCTTAGATCGTCCACTTGAAATATTGTGAGGATGGCAAGGAATCTGGTGCTTAGGAAGTCTAACAGAAAAATTCTGAGGTCTTTGGCGAGCATCAACAGATAAAATTGTTCCATTCCTCAGCCCACACAAAGCGATATTACCCTGCAATAAGTAAATTTTACCTTCCCAATAAATTATATGACTAGTTGACTACTTTGTAGAGCTAGTAGCGTAGGCTTTTTATATCTAGATTCTAATGTATGCTGTTACATGCATTCAAAAGGTACATTGGTACAGAAAGTTAAAACACTCCATCGAAACACAGGAATGTATTCAGACTGATAAAACTTTGCTGAAAAGGAGCAGAACTCCATAAAATGTTTTGTGAGGAAACTAACGTGCTAATGCACTTCATGACTCTCCGCTTCTTATTGACTAGATTTTTGGTACATTTCTTTGATATATGCAACTCATGCAGTGCAATCCTGGATCATTTTTGTTTGATGCGAGTAAGATGATGGGTCACTAAAAGATTGTCACAAGTTTTGAAAATGTTGCGCAATGAGACCTACTAATTTTTCTAGAAAACGTCTGGAGAGCGAAATTGCAGATGATACATGCCAAATAAGCTAATGTGGTAATTACCGATTGATCTAATTGTAAAGATAGAACATCACTTTTACAGCGACAAATCCATGATGTCACTCCAGTATCCACATTTACCAGAGCAGCTCCCATATTGGTGCCTAAAACAGGGGAAATAAAATAAACAAGTTTAACAATAATGTAGTGTTTCACATACTTGATAATCACGATGAAGGTTCATTCTTGTATGGCCCAATTAGCTACTCAATGACCCATGTCACCCATGACACAAAACAATCTAATGTTACAGTCAGTTATGTGAACATTCATGCAAGCATTCTAACAAATGATCCACGCTTTTGCAATATTTTTTTATGCATCATTCTAGTATTGAATTCTATTTCCATCATTTGCAATGGAACCAAAGACTCACTATTTTTTGGCTTCGGAATATGATGGAATAAAGCAAAATGGCTCACTATACGGTCTGCGTTTCATTGTTATGAAGAGCAGTAAGTCCGTGCAAATTTCGACGCGATTTTCACCATGGGTCATCCGGAAACAGTCTCTTTGTGCTTTAGTACAGGGGTAACGCTGTGTACATCCGACCATAGGTGGCAGCCTTTGCGGCACTGGGGTAATGATGATGATGATTCTAGTATTGAATTCTAAATTTACAGAGTAAAGGTCTCTTTACAAATTGTATACACCTGAGAGGGATTAAGCAATTTTCAATATATAAAAAAACAGAGAACACTTGCCTATCACTGCTCGACTTCCATCAAAGGTGCAGTCTGCTGTCCAAACTGTATAGTCAAAAGAGGCAACTCGAGACGTTGGCCTCTGCACCAGAAATGGATTTAAATCAACTGGTTCACTGAGGTTCAGAATATGGACTGTTCCACCAGATATTTCAGACCCCAGGGTGGTTACACTGAATCCTTTTATTAAGCTCAACAAATAATAAGCAACCCTCTAATTTGGCAAACCAAAATAATGTTTTTCATTTTTATTTTTTAATATGATGGAATAAAGCAAAATGGCTCACTAAACTGTCTGCGCTTCTTTGTTATGAAGCAGCAGTCAGTCCATGCAATTTTGGACGCGATTTTCACTATGGGTCATCCGGAAACAGTCTCTTTGTACTTTTGTACAGGGGTAAGACTGCGTACATCCGACCCCCTTACCCCACCGTAGGTGGGAGCCTTTGCGGCACTGGGGTAATTGGAAAAAAAAAAAAAAAAAATTGGGGGGGAGAGCATATTAGCTCAGATGGATGAGCATCAATTGCTTCACAAGTGTGGTTGCCTGAACATTCAGTAAAAGGCTATTGGCCAAATGATATATACAATAGACTTGTGTCATTCGAAAGCAGGTAACTAAACACCAAAATAATACTACGTACTGAAAAGGATATAACCGCAAATTTCAATATAACTTAAAATATCTGTTATACAGAAGGCAAGAAGAAAAAAGCTTGGTGAAAGTTCCATATGAAGAATAATTCATAAATGGAATAATGGATTACTACATTACTACTCCCTCCGTCCCGCTAAGATTGTCTTATCTTTCCTTTTCGGTCCGTCCCACTAAGATTGTCGTCCCATACTAAATTTGGTAAAGTTTGAGTGGTTCTAAATCATTCTTACTTTACTCTTACTTTATCAATTCAATATCAACCACATAAACTCACTTTTCTTAATAATCGCACCACCTCCTCAAGTCCCAATGTTAGTGGACGGAGGTAGTACAACATAAAAAAACAATCTGAAGACAATGGCAAACAGGCAAACAATTATATAACTTGCAATGACAAGCTAATAAACGCAATACAGATATAAAGAACTATTGCAAGGTCAAAACCAAGAAGATAGTCATCACCCATAATGGAACAAGTTACTACTAAAGAAAATGATGACCTTATACAGAGTTGCAAGCGCAACAAACATCTTAAATATCATGGGGCGTCATGCAAATCGTGCACTGACAGGTTACTAAACACATCCTAAGATGACCGTATGAGTGTCCACATAAATGAACCATTTCAAAAGTGAGTGAATACATAAAAGCATTCAGGATAGCATAAGCAACCAACAACATACTGCTAGCCAAAAAAGCAAAGCATCTGTTTACCACACTTTAAGGATACAGTGCGTGATTTAAAGAAGTATTTTCAACTGGATGACGATCCCTCTGGCACATCTTTATGCACGAAATAGCAGGCGAAATATGTAGGCCGGATCCTAGACTTCTCCATGCAAGCCATGGTAATTGGATGTACCCTTTAGAGTTAGCAGAACCAGATGGCCATACACGATCTGGCAGTAGCATTGCAGCATTATTAATTTCTTCTTCAGCATCCCTTCCTACTTCAAAAAGACTGCAAAAACACCAAACTTCAAAAACAACAAATTCAAAGGGGGGGTCTTTAGTTTTCCTAAACCAGTTGATGCTTTCAAAATTCAATACAAAAAGGTCCAAACAACCCTTCTACTATTTCAAATCCAGAGCTTAAGGCCCTCTAACAAAACAAAAAATATGGAGTATCATAGAAGCACGCTTACTTTCAAAAAACAATCAATCCTTTCATTTTACTGGTTTTTGACCTGCAATAGCAGGTCCCTTTTTGAAAAAAAAAATTAGGAAAAATGATAAATTCTGTAAAAAGGCATATGTTTAAAAAGTACAGGCATAAACAGAAATATAGTTAAAATGTCAAAATAGATATATAATTATAAAAAATATTATATTAAAAAATATAAAATCAAAATATAAAAGTAAATATAATATTTTTAAAATTACAATGTAAAAAAATTAAAAATGAAGAATATATAATTCAAAAAATGCAAACAAGATTAGACTTTGACTTTTTAGACTTTTTTACAGTTTTTTTCCATTTTTCGAATTTTATCAGTTTATTAATTTGAAAAAACAGTTGCTAACCACTTGACACCTCTCTTTTTAACTTCTATAGCCCTCAATTGGTATGCCATATGGCCACTGCTCTCTTCCACAACATAAAATCACAATTCACCATACAATTTGGTATTGTAAGATCATCAATATCTTTCGTTTTATTCATATTGAACAATATATGTATCAAAGTATGACTTTCACCTCTCTTTACCTCTCTTTTATTTCCTTGTCATCCATTAATACTCTTTTGTCGACTTAATTTTCTTTTTCATCCATCCTAAAATTATTGCCCTTCCTTTTAAGCAAATCACTATGTGGTTCACAATATATTCCTTCAGTGTAAATATCAGCCACGTAGCTTTTTTAGTTTCTTAAATTATGTGTCCAGTCAAATTGAGCAATAATTTAGGGATGAGGGAGACAGGTGCACAGATATATATTACCACAAAAAAGTGGTAACCATGTTCATTTGGAACACACATCCGCAGGTTAACGTGCTATAGCGATATGATAAAAGAGTCCATCACTCTTTAGTCTTTACTATTTACATTTTGTTTTTTAAATGTTCACATTAAGACCAAAATTGGCACTTAGTTGCAATCACTTATTGTGCCAAAGGAAATGAGGACTATACTATTTCAGGTGAAAACAAAATGAAAAAAAAAACGACTTTCACAAAACAATTAGTAGCCAAGATATACTCCGTAGTAGATATAGTAGATGAAACAATGACATCCATTATATAATGAGGTAGCACTCTTCAAAAACCATCTATTCATGAACAATGGGCCATTCTCGTAGCACAATACCAAGGGTAACAATTTAACAGGTTGGTTCCACCAATAACAAACAAGAAAATCATAATTTGTTAGCGCTCCTAAGTTTTGACTATCTTCTACACATACCAAAATAGCCCATTCGAACTGCCGGTCAGCAAAAGCTCTGTTTTGACAATGCCCTGAGGACTTTCTACACCAACTGTTGTATGCTCCATTGCATTATCTACAATTCTTTCTGTGCCAAGATACTTCCAAAACTGAATAAAATACATAACAGGATGACAAATGTGTTATGGAATATTTTCAATTATGAAATAAATGGAAAAATATATGATTCTACGACTTAGCTCAGAAATTGTTGATCAACATTTAACAACTCGTTCACGGCATCATCCATTAATTTTCACATTCAGTAACAGGTTTCCACAAAACCCCATTTGCATGAGTTCACAAAAACAACAGCTATTTTCAAAGGCAATATTTCCTAAAAAACTTAACAGATAATACACACACACATAGAGAGAGAGAGAGAGAAATGGAAGGATTTACTTACAAAAAGGAAAGGTGAAATTATAGGGATACATACAAATACCAGGAAGGTGACCCAAACTGTCGTAATATAATAGTCTTAACTACCTCTAAGATGTTGACAGGATCAACTTAAGACTATTAGTCTGTAGAGAAAAATAGGGACTGAATAAAGGGACCAACAATTCCCGAGAACTCAACTCTTGAAACATTCTAGCAAATTGGATATACTATTGATACTAATCCACACAGCCACTAAACCATATGCCTTGACTCTTAATACCTAGTTACCTACTATTCCTGTTAAGGAATACATTAAGCAAAAAACACAACCAAAACAAAACATTTTCCCCACTATATAGGGTCTCAGTCTCTTACAGGTGCAGATGTGGTCTACGCTCAGTAATTAATCAGAGCATGATCTCAGGCTGGTGTCAATCCAACTCTCGCAACAACTCTTCTATAGGAAACTTCTAAATAGGTAATACACCTAAGTGTCGTCCACTTTCGGGGTTAGTTTAATGACTTTATTTGGCATATAGGCTATGCCCCATCGGGAGTGTTTTGAAGTTTTGATTCACCTTTGCAAATCATGAAACATTTTATTCTCAAGGTCAAGTTATCATGGAAGATCGAGTAAGTAGAACTCACATAGAGGCATCAATATTTATCAGTAAAACTGTAAAAGGCATTCTAATATCCTTTGATGAAAAACTGCTAGAACTGAATTCCATAGGAAAACAATTGAAAGTGACACCATAGGTGTAATATTCACAAGCCATGAATTGTGTGATTGATGAACTATTGAGCTAACACTTTCTCACAAAGATGCAAACCATTCCAACGCGTTATTAGCTTCAAATATTTTTTGTTAGGAAATTCAACCAAGGGTGGATAAAATGATGATAGTGGTAACCATGACTCTCATGTCTTAAGATTGCCAAATGCTTTGTGGCTGTGCCATTGAGCACATTTTGGATGGACAACGACCCCATCTACTTCCACATTTTTAAGAGCTCCCGGAGGCAACACTGGACATCACGCAATATGCAGTACTCTTCTAAGAGGGGGGAAATGTCATGCTTAAGAACTAAACTAATTTTATATTTTATTGCCTTGTTACCACCGTAGGGGAGCCATGGCCACTGATTAAATAGGGGAAGGCTTGCCCCTTATATGCCCTTGGGGTGGGACCCTTCCCCAGACCCTCACCTTGCAGGGATGCCTTCATGCACCGGACTGCCCTTCTTTATTGCCTTGTTACCACATAATATCAAATGAGATGAAGTTTGCAATAAAGTCTACTCAATGACACATATCATTAGTATCAAGCATCCCGAATTAAAGAACAATGAAATCTAAAAGCCTTGAAATCCTATAGCATCTATAAAATAGAAAATAGCACTGAATCATTTCTACCGTGCATCCAAGTGGGAGTTTCTAATCTAAGAGATATAACTCAACTAAGATGTGACACATGATAAATTCAAATGCAATTGTTTAAGTTCCCAAATTATTTATTAGAAGATATCAATGGACCAGACCATAGGTTGTGAAGCTCGTCTCTTCTGGTATTCCATTTGAAAACTGAACTTTCCTTTCCTGTTAGTTATCAACTGGCCACACAATTCCCTACCCTGGAGAAGAGTATTACTTCTGATTTTCAAGCTCTTATGCTCATCTTTTTCCTACAACAAAACAATGAAGAACATATATTGTTACAGTTATACAGCAGCTTAGAGTGGAAGAGACCAGTTGAAGATGAAATGTTTATAGTTTGTTTATAAGATTCGGGCATATTGAGTGTGGGCATACTGGTGGCAGGTTAAAGAGAGTCATAACATGATATATGTAGGATTGTAGGAGACTAGAATCCAAAAGAAGCATATTGTTTCTGGAAATGAAATCTGGGCATTTGACACATTAGTTCGAGTAGAATGACACATTAGTTTTCCGGTGACTTTTTGGCTAGTTTTTGTCTTTTTGAAGAACTTCTGGTTTTTCACCAGCACCTTGCCTGTTAGACTAGGCAAGATTTAGGATTTTGGAATTAAATATTGACACTTCTAGAGAAAATCCTAGTCACATATTTGGTATCACAAACTCGAGAAGTAATATTCATGTTATACTTTCATAAAAAAAAAATTATAGCAAATTTCAAGTTTAGAATACGCTGTAAGCTTAATTCTAACAAGTATTTAACTTGCACTAATAACAATGTAAATTTTTTAAACATTATCCTTATATATTTGAGATAAAGGTGTTATTTATGTTTTCAAACAACAGGTTTGAGGTATACTTTCTCCATGTATTAATTTTCTGCAAAAACTAAACAAGAAAAAAAAACAAAAATTGTATAGATGCAGACATGCAGTTAGCTTCTTGAAGGAGATGTCAATGGTTCAAGATCCAGTACATTGGACATTTAGTATATAAGCTTATTTGTGAGTTGTGACAGTGTGAGAGATTAGTTACAGTAGAGACGTGGGGTAACACTGTGACAGACACAGCATACAGGGATCTTAACATGACCATATCACAGGGAGAAAGCTGGGCTATCAAAAAAGAAATCTATATGATATAGTTGTATTCTGTTGGGTAGTTAGTTAGCCGTTGATATGTAAGTTGAACAGTTTGCTTAGCTAGTTTGACTGCCTATATAGAGTTTGAGCTTGTATGTACGAAACAGGCATGTTGATAATACAATTCTACATCATACTTCTCTCTGAAATCTCTCATTACTCTTTACATACAGCTTCTCGAATTCTCTTCTCCACCCCAATTCTATGAGAATTCCTGAACTGTATCACTACAAAACGTGTGAATGAAGAACTGGTAAAGGTCGAGACTTTTCTTTTCAGCTATTCAGGACTGCCAAATAATCACGAATACATCATATGGTAGCTCTTTCAATAAATAATACATACCTTCCCAGTGGAGGCCGGTGGAGGAGATTTCCGTTTCCTGGAAGAGCCAGGGATTGGTCCCTTGACAGGAAAATACCTGTTCTTCTCCGAGTCATAGTAGAACCCTGGAAGCTCTGTCAATCAAAAATGCCAACTATTACATCACCAGAACTAGTGCTCAGTCAAACAATATTCCATCGAATTGGCTAAATTAGAGGGAAGAACCTTTGGGCATTATCAAGAATATATAACAACCGTATGAAGATTATAAATTAGCTCTCTTGCCGCAGGAGTCCTGCGTATGAGCGAGCGACTATAATCCTGTCACAGCCTTAGCAGGGGCATTTCCGTTAATGCTTCTGCTCCAATGAGAGGGTACTAGAAGTGAGTTAGGTTGCAGCGGTTCGGTTTTGACCTAAAACCAAATATAGAATAGAAATCACAGTTTTATTGTATTGGATAGTCGATACCCATATCCTATAATCTAGGGAGAGATTGAACAAGAACCAAGAAGAAGAGTAATGGAGAAGAAGATATATGTGTATTGTGAATGAATAATGCTAATCTATGAGTTATGTTTACAAGCCTCCTATAAGGAGTATATAGGGGGAATCCGGGTCTGGGCCTATAATATGGGTCTGACAGACCCGGTTACATAAATGGATTGATAGTATAAAAAGCTAATCTAGAACATCTGAATAATAATAATGTACAATAATAAGAATCCGCTAAGCGTGTGTGGGCCGCTGTCCAGGTCAAATAGTCGGCAGACCGGGGGGTCGGAGTCCATATACTCCATCAGATTGGTTCGGTTTGTTTCGATTTGGTTTCGATTTTTTTGGTTTTTAACCAAAAAATTATCATTTAATTTAAGAAATAATGACCGAAATATGGCTATTACGTTGCAGTATTCCAAAAAAAGACCTAGTTTCGATTGGGACAAAAAAGGGACCAAAAATCAACAAACTCGCAAAATTGCCCCAAGTATAAATGCCTAAACATATCCAGCCGTTTACCCTCCCATCTCGCTCACGCAGACACGCCTCATGCGGCTATGGTCCAAGCCGCTCCGACAAAGACGCCGCAGACCAGCCTTCAGCTTCGACGACGATGGCCTCTGACCAGCTTTAAGCTCCGGCGAAGGTCGTGGTTGAAGACGGCGTGAAACAATAGAGATCTGTGCAATTGGATCCGACACCACCGCACCTCGTCGCATCTTCGCATCTGCGATTTCGTCCTTCCAACATAGCTCAAATCCTCGTCTTCATCTTCTTCTACTTTTTTCTTTTCAAGCCGCCTGTCGCCGCCTCTCCTCGTAGAACTCGATCAAAACGAAATTCAAAGTTGCTGGAATGCTGTGTTCGGCCAGATCCGCTGCCGTTGTCGATGCAGTAGTTGTCGCGGGGTGGGCCGCGGCCGCGGCTAGGGATGCAGGTTCGTCAGCGGCCGCGGTTAGGGTTGCAGGTTCGTCAGCGGCCGCGTCTAGGGTTGTGGGACAGGGGATGCTTGCTGAAATGGGGAGATAGGGAGGGGGCAGGGGAGTGGAGGTTACTGGACGGGCGGCGGTTACTGGACGGAAGGCGGCGGTGGTCTCCGGCGGTGACCGGAGGTGGCGGTCGCCAGCGGTCGCTGGCGTTGACTAGAGGTTGTTGGCAGTGATCATTATAATAGCCGAAATAGTTGAGTTGTGTAATTGTAATTGATGGAATTTGATAAAATGTAACTGGTCAAATTGGTTCAGATAACTGTAACTGGTCGGGTCGGATAATTGTAATTGGACGAGTCATGTAACTTTAACTTGACGTATTGGGTAACTGTAACTGGATGAGTTGAATAATTGTAACTGGACGGACAAACATTGGTCACTTGACGGGCGGACGTTGGTAACTGGACGGATGAACGTTGATCACTGGTCGGGGTTGATTACTTGACGAAATTTTTGGTCACTAATAAATTTGGTGACTGACAGATTTCGAATTTTTGGTCACTAATATTTTTTTGTCACTGGGGGATTTTGGTCACTGGGCGGGTTAGGTCACTGGGGTGGGTCTGTCACTTAAAGACATTAAGGGTAATATGTAAGTTTGCATCTTATTAGTCCCATTTTTGGAACTTTTAAGTAATGGTCTCTTTTTTGTCTAACAACTTAATTTTAGTAATATTAGTGGACAAACCCCTTAATTTAAAATTGATATAATACTTTGAGTGATCAAACATATTACATTAAAAATGCAAGCACACTACAACAAATAAAATTAAAATGAAAATAAATAAATATGTCTTGAATTATATGAGTATGTGAGAGAGAGAAAAGTATATACACCATCTGTTCCTATGTAAAAGGCATACTGTGACTGTCGCGCATCTTGAGGAGGAATACTGTTTGACACTATTTGGACACTGTTTGACACTATTCTACACTGTTTTGTTTGCCAAAAGGGAAGTGTGCCTTTTATTTAGGGACAAAAGGAGTATATTATTAATTTACATTGTTTGTGACTAGTTCAAAAAAAGTTCATGAGTACATACGTTCTATGTGATATAATTGAGATGAATATATATTGTTTCTCCAATATGAATTCTAGCTTTAAGTTAAATAAAAATAAAAGTTAATTAATACTAATAACTAGTAAAAACTAATTATCATCATTCAGTATAGCTACATAATCACGGGCAATGAATGTGTAAATGAATTTATAAACTAAACTAAACATAACACAAATATTATTTCTCTAGCACAAGAAAACCAAAGACTATTAACGATATTAGGATTAGTTAGAATTAATGCTTAACAATTGACAAATGAATATTTTTAATTAGTTCGGTTTGTTCGATCCGGTTCGGTTTTGAAGGGTATAAACCAAAACCGAACCAAACAACTACGATTTGATTTGGTTTTTTACATTCGGTTTCGGTTTGTTAGCGGTTCGGTTTTATTTGGCTACGGTTCGGTATGATTTGATTCGGTTTTCAGTTTTCGGTTTTTCGGACCCAGCCCTAGAGGCTACAACCTACAGGCAGTGGTGCAGAGTTAAATTTAGAGGACCAAAAACATTTGGGCTTTCCGTACACAGTAGAAATTCACTCTACACGATCCACATCAAATTAGATTGAATTAAATTAATTACCGCCGGTAATATAAGAATTAATTCTACTTTGATCTTGGTCCTACGAGTTTTTTATTAATTTCACCTTTAGTCTACATCTTTCATTTTCTCCATTTTTGGTATTTGACTAATGTTTTTTAACCGTCTGTGATCCTTTTCTGGCGAGTTTAACCATCGGAAACAATGTCGGAAGGACCATATGTGGACGAAAACACAATAGTCATGTATCTAAAGTGAACAAAGTGAAAGATGTGGACTAAATGTGGAATTGAACTAAAAATTGTAGGACCAAAAGTGGAATTTATTCGGTAATATAATAAAAAGGAAATTGATGAAAGTATAAATAGAGAAAATCACATACTCTGTATAGATCATCATATTATTTTCAAATCCTCAAATTCATTGCCAACTCATTGTTAGGATGTTTTCTTTTGAACCATGTTTGAAAAACCGACCTGGCCCGGCAAAACCTGGTCCAAACCCGGACCCAAAAAATCCTATAAACCCGGAAAAAACCGGTTTTGATTGTTTTTCTATTCTTTAAAATCTTTTAAAGCATTTATAACCAATAAAATTGCAATTTCAATATCCTAAAAATCATGTCAAATTATAGAGTATAATAAATGTCCAATAAAAACACTCTGTAACAAATATGGAGTATCATTATATATTTTAATTAGATCAAAATGGTATCTTGGAATATTATGAGACTTTTTTAACTTTTAAGTGTTTTGTAAGTATTATTATTAGTTGATTATTATGAAATAATCACCTCTTATTTTAATTTTGTAAACAATTATATGTTTATTAATGTTAAATGGTTGACCGGTTTTATAGCATTGACCGGGTTGACCCGTGACCCGGTCACGCGGCCGGGTCGCTTCCAAGTCCGGTTTCTTAAACATAGCTTTTAGACTTAAATTTGTTGTCTGATCTAGTTTGATCTGGTCTGGTCTGGTCTGTTTATGTTTGGTCTGTTCTGATCTGGTATGAGAAATATCTGGTCTCCGTACATTTTATAACTATCCAAGTTCGGCCTGGTCTGTTTAAGAGACTGTTTACTTTCGACTTAATGGCAACAATGACTTAATCATTCAGTCATTAAGTCATGTTTACTTACGACTTAATTGAAAACATGACATAATCATTCGTTGCCGTCGTCTCTGACTCTCTGTAGGGAGAAGGAGGTCCTGACGTCTTCAAGGCCTACAAACATTGGTTACCGGAATGAAAGCTTACCGCCATGAGATCCGCCGGCTCCACCACAAATCGTCCATCGATTTCTCTAAACGTCTCAACTCTCAAACCGTTCATTTACATCCGCAGGTTTTTATTCTTATTTAGTTGATTTTCAATCCAAGAGATACACTTTCTTTAATTTCAAATGTAATTATATTTCTTCCCCAGATTCTGTTTTTTTTTTTTTGAGAATGTATGAGCTTCTTTCGAAGTCCTCAACAAATTTCCTATGCATGTCAATAGAGATATTCAACCACCTTCTGTTCAGAAATAATGAAAGCTTACCGCCACGAGATCCGCCGGCTCTACCACAAATTGTCAATCGTTTCTCTAAACGTCTTAACTCTTAAACCGTTCATTTACATCCGTAGGTTTTTATTCTTATTTAGTTAACTAGTTTAGTAACGCGCGTTGCGCGTTCGTGGAAATGCCCAAGACTGTAGAGACATTAATTCATCGGTCTAGGACTCTAGGTTGAGTGAATATATGAATGATATGAATACAATATTTGAATACATAGTTTGTTATATATTGATAAAGAATCATAAACAATAAAAAAGATTTGTCAATATCACAAAGTGTTTCCCATGTAATATTTATTGAATACATCTTACCAAACTACATCCACACATAACAAAATACTCCGTATCACATATTTGTTTCCGACCGGGAAGAAAAGAAGGGTAGGAAATCCCCCCCTGCAAAAAGCATTCAATACCAAAACTATGTTACTACTTACTACATCTGAAGGAGTGATTGTGATGATCTCTCCATCTCATAAAAAGAGTCTTTTAAAAACTTGATTTTACACAAAAAAGAAAAACAAAAATCATTCCATAAAACAGAGAAACTTGATCTTAAAAAACATTCCATAAAAATAATCATTCCATAAAACAGTCCCTTAATAATTTATCAAAATTACCTTGGCTAAGCAAAATATAGAACAACGTAAGCCAAGCACAAATCACAGTGGGCTCTAAGTTCACAGGTAGGGGATTTGTTTTTTAAAAAACGTATTTATAATTTTTATTTATTGAACATTTGACTATCTGAATCAAGAAGAAAAAGAAATATATAACGAATATTCAGCCACAATTTATATTATAAAGACCTAAAAAATAAAAACCATGCATTCATATTTCATACAATCGCCAAAAGGCAGTTGGTCAGACTACTCGGCATACTTCTATGTACTATTTTTAAATATCTGCCGCAGCTACGTTTTTTTTTTAAATAGTGACCCTTCTATTTTAAACATGAGATTCTCCAAATGAAGTTGGATCCATATGTTAACTTCATAGTGTCATATGCAGGGAAAAAAGCTACCATCAACAGGCTAACTCAGTTCACAAGCACATAAATTTTAAAAAGTGGGCTCTAAGTTCACAGGTAGGGGAAATACAAATTTCAATTTATATTTGTTTTTGTGCAAAAAAAAACATTTATTAAAGAAAACTAAGCGAACATTTTCCTATCTTGTCCAAGAGAAAAAAGAAAATTATAATGAATACTGATACAAAACTGATATTTGGCCCAAATAGATGCCAACAAACACATTTCATTTTGTAAATTTCTCGGTCATTTCACATAAATAAAAAGCCAACAAGTGTGCTTAATAAGGAAAACTGTGAGTAATTTGATTTTTCCATGAAGTTCATCCCCTAAGAATTTTGATAGAAAAACACGGCAGAATTGTAATTTTTTGGACATTGATGCTTCTTCTCCTGAGCCTAGTGAGCTAGAATCATAGAACTTTAAATGTATTAGCTAATTACCTATTATTTTTTACCAATTTGGAACTAAGTGTGTTAACGATGTGTTGGGAAAAATGACCAGAGGACACTCGCTTCATATTTTAAATTGTTCAGTAGCTCTTTGCAAACTCTATGTATGTATCTGAGGAACAAAGAAGGAACCTAAATGAAAAGAATTTGGTTAAACTAAGGTTAACAACTGCACATGATTCCTTATGTATCAATTCCTTCGAATTCAATTAGGAGACCTCCTTTCCAACTCAATAACATAGTCAACTTTGTTAGCTATAAGTATTTAATTCTCATTTTACTTAAAACGTAGTATTTATTAGCTAAACCAGACTTATGTACACCATTAAAGTCAAAAAATATTCGCTTCCCCTGTGATTAAGCAAAGAAGATAAACAATTAATATGACTATTAATTTTCTTTAAGGAAACACTGCTGAAAAACCTAACTAAAACAGCAGACAAGATATGCATAGGTAAAATGGAATGGGGAAAATTATCTTACCCCAAGAGGAAACACGCTCAGCTCAAATTGCCAACAATCTCTCCAGCCTAAAAAAGATTTTAAAAAGCACATACAAGGTTAAATTAGTCTATAGAAGGTGGAAAACTGAAAATAATACAAACAAAGTGTTTAATAAAAGCGCATGTATCAGTTGTGCCACGTCATTGTTACCTAATCATGTGACATTTGCTAAGTCAGGAATGAAATCGAACAATAACACGCATAAGCAATACAGTTGGATATTTGGCAATGGTTTGAACATCACAATATGAAAAAGCTGCATACGGGAAAGCATGCAAAAACATGAGTTTTTCCTATGATGACTATTTTTTGTTCTGTTTATAGGGTACTTACTCACACGGACATAATACAAACATTTGTTTCTCTACATTTAACAAAAGAAAAGACCAAGTACTATGGAGTAGAGATATAAAAAAAACGTAAAAGGGAAAAAAGTTTATATTGAGATAGACAAAAGAAAAAGAATGATTTTTTTTGGGGTGGAGACTTCGGAAAAATGCTGGAGCTTTCCAGTATACTTATATTTGGAGAACTGCTTTATAGTTTCAGTACTCAGTAATTGAAATCCCAAAATGGATTCGCTCATTTTCCACATCCGCTTTATTTAGCCCAAAGGATAACTGGGAATGAGAGACTCAGAGAGCTGAAACTAATCAGCCATTTTATAGCAAATTTAATTTTATAACAGAGAAAATTTTGTCCAGGAAATTTTTAACTCCCGGGAAACTAAAACTCAACATAAATGACGTATCTTCTCAATATGTAATCAGAACGCACAAAACAACTTACTTCTGGACATTTAAACAAACACACAGATTGCACAAATATAAAGGGGAGACTACACAGTACAATTGGAATCACCACCCAAACTACTATCATAAACAATTCTAGGAGCCCGTACAGAACAACGATAGAGGGAAATAAACAAGATGATGCGGAGAACACTAACAATCAAGTAACCATACAATACAATGCAAATTGGCTGAATAGAGAAAAAACTCACAAGGCTATAACAGAGAAGAAGAGGAAAATTCACTGAAGAGCTGCGGAAAATTACTGACAATCGACCATCTATGACCTTTGAGATGCTAAACCCTCCAGAGGTCGAGGCCAGGATGCAGCGGCTGAAATCGAAGAGAGAAACTGAAAAGTTTTCAACAAAATAAATGAATAGTAGAAAATTAGAAATAGAAGAGCTAAGGATTGATACTCCGTATAACGCTGAGGAGTGCAGTCGTAATTAAGGATATAACGTTGAAAGGTGCCAGCGTGTTAAGGATGTACAACCAAGTAAATATAAAGTACAATCAGATTATGCATCAAGAGACACCAACATTTTTATTATGACAGTTTAACCCCTAACAAAATTCCCTCTTATAATATTGTAGAGATTTCCAATCCAAGAGATACACTTTCTTAAATTTCAATGGGTTTTTTACAATAATATTACTAAAATAAAACATATTTACATATATATGACTATTCATTACTACAATGTGGTGTTGTGGTAACTTAAGCTCAAAACTTGAACATGAATTACTATGATTTCATTACTACTCTAGTCACTAATCATATTTTTGTAAATCATCTTTAATTTATTTTGATCATATTTATGTAATTATTTCAATTTCAATTGTAATTTCTTCCCAAATTCTGTTTTCTTGAGAATGTATTAGCTTCTTTCGAAGTTCTGAACAAATTTCCTATGCATGTGAATAGAGATATTAAACCATTTGTGAATAGAGATCAAATTTCCTAAGAAGAAAAGATTGAGCGGAGGAAGCCTGGGACGAACATTCATCTCGGCTAGGGAGTAGGGATATTTGAGAAGTAATATTTGTGTCATTCTTTCTAAGGAAATTTCAGTCTACTTTCATTTACGCTCATTTTAAAATGGTGCATATTTCAAAAGTATCATATTATATTATATTCTCATATTGAAATCTATAGGAGTTGATTATAGATATAATTTAATACGGAGTACTACGCAAGTCTTTATAAAAAAACAAAAAAATTATTGTATTAGAAGATATGAATCAGAAATCACGATATCAATATTGGACTCCTAATACTTAATAGGATAAGTGTGATGTTCACTAAAAGTGCATTAATGCTCTTTTAGCCGAAACCGAGATTTGCACATAATTTACGAAAATGTCACCCATTAAATTAATTTTATTAATGCTCTTGTAGTGGGGGACGACAAAACTGTGGTGGGCTTATCCCTTAGTCCTCACTACGATAAGCCGGGATTTCCACAAAGAAAATTAATTTTATTAATTATTTCTCTTTGTTCTTCGAGAACACACCCATCATAGTTTTGCAGTCCTCCACCACAAGAGGACTGTCAAGGGGTGGCTGCAGACGGTGATGCCGCCGGAGCAGACCCCCGGTGCGCGGGTGCCCTGTGTAGCATAGCTATGCAACAAGGTTGCAACAAGTAGCTAGCATAGCTATAAGCCTATAACTAAAGCCATGTTCACCTTTCTTGCCATTTAAAGAATCTCTATTGAAAATGTGATTCTTGATCGATTCCTAATGTTGGGAATGACCGAATGAGGCAGACACCCCAATTTTATAGACTGGAGAGTTGGGTCCGCATTAGTATCACATCAAATTTGATGCAAGCCAAACCTATCAATTATTTTAAATAACGCACTTTGGTATGTGCTCATGAATGTTGATTTCCGTGTCAATTTGCAATGTGAATTCGTGTTACACAAAACAAGTATTTTTATGAATGTCCTTATTTTTTATAAAAAAAAAAAAGATGACACCCCATCCCTGAGGGCCCCCAACACCGACCGGACGGCACGATGGGAGGATGTAAATTGGACTATAATCACAATCTGACAGATAGAGAGTGGGGCTCTGTCCCCGGTACTTACAGAGGCCCTATGCATTTTTCAGCATAGTAACCCCTCATCGTAGTTGCCGGGATTCGAACTCGAGACCTAACCCTTGTGGCACTCCCTCACTACCAGTTGAGCTACGCCCACCGGTGTCCTTATTTTTTATAGTCCTTGTTTTGGTAGTTATAAGCCATTTATTTTGGTAGTATTGTTGGAAAAAAAAAAACTTGTTTTTATAAAATATGCAATAAAAGTGAATTATTAGCTAGTGTTAATTGTGCTTTAAAAATAAAACCTTTATGAGCTAAATAAGGAAATGGCGTTATTATTACTGGAATAAAGTAAAATCGATACACCGTATAAAAAGTTCAAGAAAAGTCAAAAGTTATGAACCTCACAAAAAGTTTGTGAATATAATAAATACAAATACTGTGTATTGTCTACGTAGTATATTTCTAATACCCAAGAGCCAAGGCAAGAGACAACAAAGTGACCGGCAAGGCAGCAACAGCCATAAGCGGCGCAGCGGTGCTAGGCTGTGCAGCTGGAGATGTGGCGGAAGGGCCGCTGCTAGGGTCGGATGAAGGTGCAGCAGCGACGGAGGGCGGGGACAAGGTAGGGACGGAAGGCAGGGTACCGGCGGGTGCGGGGACCGATGAGGGCGTGCCGGCGGCAGTGACATTGATGGCGAGCTTCTGGCCAAGGGAACAGTGAGTACCGACTGTGCAGATGTAGAAATGCTCGCCGGGGGCGGTGAGGGTTTTCCTGTATGGGCTGACTGTTGTAGGTGTTGAGTTGCTGCTGCTGCATGAGGTGAAAGATGCCTTGTTCACCTCAGCCACATTGTGTATATTTGTAAAGTTGAACACTGTCGTACATACCATTATAAGAAGTTAAATAGTGAAATTAAATACTCAGGATGAAAGTTTAAAATATTAAATTATTATTAGTATGGTACGGGCAGCATATAATATGCCTTATTATTATATACTTCATCGTTCTTAAATAAATGCAACAGTCAACATTTCACAGTTGACGAGACGCAACTTTGACCATTAATATATACTATGTATAATTTTGTATTAGTAAAAAAAAAATTTAAATAAAAAATTTTGTATTAGTTAAACAAATTTAACAATATTTGTTTCATAAAAAATATTAATAGATTAATAAATAAAACGTAGTCAAAGTAGAACATGTGAATAATGTAAATTTTCATATGTTGCATTTATTTAAGAACGGATGTAGTACGTAGTACATAAGAATGTGTTCTAATCTTATATTCTATCCATATTAGAATAAGGGTCTCAGTCAGATTTTCACGTAATTTAAGACCATTTATAGGTTTAATCTACATTTTTTAAAAATTATGATTTTTTGTACCGTAGCAAATAGCAATGTAGCTACATTTTTTGTACTTTATTAAAGTGTATTGTAGCTACTTTTAAGGTGAATTTATTTCCGAAAGTGGAAGTGATACACTTATTTTAATACGACCCAAAAAACAATTGAGACACTTGTTGTGATATGGAGGGAATATCACGGAAAATCACATACATGAGAGTCATCGAGAGTAGTTTTTTGGGAAGAAAATTAATAGAAGTATGATTAAATAACTTTTTATTCTTAAATTAGTTGAGTTTTATATGTATGCGCTTTTATATTACTCCCTCCGTCCCGTTAGAAGGTTCCCACTTTCTTTTTTTGGACGTCCCGTTAGAAGGTTCCAATTTCCATTTTAGGAAACAATTAACAATCTTAAGTGATAAATTAGTCATTAAATATTACAAATAATACATTTATAACATCACAATTATCAATACTAACACATTGTAATATATACCTATTAAAATTATTTCTCAAAATATACCGAAGTACTTTATTTAATTATCACCTAAATAACCGTGCCGTTTTGCTATGAGAACCTTCTCGCGGGACGAAGGTACTACTTTTTTTTTCCTTTCAATTTAATCATTACTCATCTACCTACTTAATAATAAAGTACAGCCTTCTAATTGAAATTGAATTTTCAATTAATTGCTATTGAGTCCAATTAGTGAATAATCATTAATTGCAATTAAGTCCTAAATTCATAGTATTTACTCAATTGATTACTATTGAGTCCAAATAGTGAATATTCATCATATTAATTCAATTAAGTCTTAAATTCATAGTATTTATGTATATAACGGAGAAGAAAAGTTTACCCCCGGAATTCCAGAGTAGAACCGCCATCTAGCTGCCGCAATTTGAGGATGTTCTTGGTGCTTTTATTGATGATTTTTTTAGCATGTTGTTCAATCTTCATGACGTTTAGATTATGTCCACAAAATTTCATCTTAAAACTTGATTGAGAAGTCAGTTAAATAAATTATTGAAAATACTGCATTTTATACATACATAAATATTTTGGCATAGTGTTTTTCAATAATTTTTTAATTGACTTCCCAATCGAATATTAAGTTGAACGTTTGTGGATATAATGTAAACTTCATGTAGAATATGCTTACAAAATTTCATCAAGAAAAAACCACCAGAAACCATCTCAAATCGTGGCGGCCGGTCGGCGATTCCGATCAGGATATCCAGACTGGAATATTACTCTATTATGGAGCATCAATTTCCAAATGAACTACAAATAATTATATAATCATTCCATCTATAGAGCACATATATATTTGGAATGTTTTATAATGTTGGATTTCATTCCATATTTTATAATGTTATATGAATCATTAGTTTAATTCTAATATACTCTGTATAACTTTTCTTGAAAAAGTAACTTCACTAATTTTATTTCATATTTGTATAGTTTTATTCATATGCACAATATAATTTTTCTATTCTACAATACTAAGTTGCTTTTGATAATATTAGTTATTTTTGTTTAAAAAAACACATAAAAGAATAAATTGAATTTTCAAAAAATAAAGTGATTTTTATATTTATTAATTATTAGTAATAAGATTATAATGATTAGTTTTCTATATAGGATACCCAATTAAAACAATAATTTTGTTGAAACATATGCGATGAAAATGTCCGTGTATTTTAAACATAAGATATAACGATGAAAACCTAATTGATATAATTTCTCATTTATTATAAAATTTTACACTTTTTATTTACTAATAAAACTACCTTCAAATCACACTTAATATCGGAGAAGAATTTAAAAATACGAATTGAGATTTTCAAATTAAAAATTCAAATAGTACTGATAAAGTATAATATAATACTACCTCCTTCCCTAAAAGGTTCGCCATATTGATTATTTTTTGTCAATGATGGCAAACTTGAGACAATGTTTTTAATTATTATATTGTATATAATTTATAAATTTTTTACTTTTATGAAA